TCTCAGTCTGTTCCTACAAAACACCTGAGAGTAGGTGATTTATAAAGAACAGAAATTTGTTTCCTCACAGTTCTGGAGGCTGGGAATTCTAAGATCAAGGTGCCAGCAGGTTCTCCATCTGGTGAAGGCCTTGGGTCTCTGCTTCCAAGGTGGCACCTTGAACACTGTGTCCTCACACAGTGAGGGAAAAGGAACAGAAGGAAAAAAGGACTGAACTCACTCCCTCAAGCCTTTTTATAAAGGTGCTAATCCCATCCATGAGGGCAGAGCCCTCATGACCTAATCACCTCCTAAAGACCTCACTTCTTAATACTGCTACACTGAGAATTAGGTTTCAACATGAATGTGGAGTGGACACATTCAAACTATAGCAAGTACTCACTATAAATTTTTTTTTTTTGAGACGTAGTCTCTCTCTGTTGCCAGGCTGGAGTCCAGTGGCGCAATCTCGGCTCACTGCAACCTCTACCTTACAGGTTCAAGCAATTCTCCTGCCTCAGCTTTCCAAGTAATTGGGACTATAGGCGCGTGCCACCATGCTCAGCTAATTTTTGTATTTTTTTCTTAGATGGAGTTTCGTTTCTGTTGCTCACGCTGGAGTGCAATGGCATGATCTTAGCTCACTGCAGCCTCCGCCTCTCAGGTTCAAGCCATTCTCCTGCCTCAGCCTCCGGAGTAGCTGGGATTACAGGCACCTGCCACCATGCCCAGCTAATTTTTTGTATTTTTAGTAGAGACAGGGTTCCACCATGTTGGTCAGGCTGGTCTCGACCTCCTGACCTCAGGTGATCCACCTGCCTTGGCCTCCCAAAGTGTTGGGATTACAGCCATGAGCCACGGCGCCTAGCCTAAATTTTGTATTTTTAGTAGAGAAGGGGTTTCACATGTTGGCCAGGATGGTCTCGATCTCTTGACGTTGTGATCCACCCACCTCGGCGTCCCAAAGTGCTGGGATTACAGGAGTGAGCTACGGTGCCCAGCCTTTACTATAATTATCTAATAGACATCAAAGGCAATTCTGATACTAGAACTCACATAAGTACCTCTTCAGAGTGCTTACTACACAGCAGTAATATTAGGGACATACACTTCTTTTTGTAGCCAAACTTTTTAAAAAACTGCAATGAAATTATAATTATAAAATTTTAAAACAAGGTCTAGCACTGCTGTGGATTACTATGGATCTGAATGAAAAATCAGCTTAAAAATGTATTTTCCAAAAGGGTCATAGGGCAGGAGTCCTCCTATTTAGTCTTCTGACCAACTTCATAGCATTAGTTATTGATGAGTTATTGAGGCCTGTTCAGTACTTTCAGAAGCCTCTCTCAAGCTCACCCACTGTTCTCCTGACTCCTTTACTGCTGATGCTTACACAATCCATTCACCTGCTCGTAACAAGAACGTGTGAATAGTACTCAGAGTGCCCACATGGCCCTGCCCTGTGAGGGTCCACAGGAAAAATCCCTTTGGTTTCAATATTAGGTATAATGGTACATTCTCTGAACAATTCGCTTCTATTTAATCTTATGAATTATGTGAATCCTATAAATTAATGAGTCTTATAGTGGAAACAGCTCCTTTGGAAGATATATCAGAATTGAGTGTTCCTTCAAACTTCTCCATCCTCCAAAGTTCTGATCTCTGTCTTCTGTCCCTGCTCTCAACCTACCTCCTTTGAGAATCTCTTTAGGAAGGAGAAATGTTTATGATGAGAGTGTGAGGTACTTATAAATGACGTGCAAGCAGATAAAAGCACGAGCCCCTGCTCTTAAGTGATCATGTTATCATCTTCAGGTTTGTTGACAGAATTTAGAGCCAAATTAATAGAGCACTTTACCATATGCCTTTTGTGCACCAACCTTAAACCTTCTATTTCTCTAAGCTTATTTTCCCTTTGTATCCTTTTTAAATTAACTTTGTTTTAAATTTATTTAATTTTTTGTATCACATACATTATTATAACCATCTTATATCTTTCATAAGACAAAATGGGGTAGAAATAATCTATCAATAAGGAGTATCCACTTGAGGTGGCAGAGTGAATACTCTAAGAAACCATGTACCCTTCCTAATACTATGTAGAAAAAAAGCCATGTCTAAATCACTGCAAAAAAAAAAAAAAATTGTAAGATCTGAACTGATCTTAATCAACTGATCTTAATTGTATTTATCCGAGAGAAAAACCAACCGTTATATTCGTGAAAATTGTGAAATAGAAACAACTTTAAAAGGAAAAAACGCTGCTTTAAAAAAAGCATTACCAGAAAATTATGATTAATAAAATGTTACCACTGTAATAATTAGGAAAGAATAATTTATATAGCTTAAAAAAAAGTTTAAGTAAATTTATTACTCATTCTGCAATTGCTGTTTACCTTACTGACAACAAGTATTTAAACATTTTTTTTGTCAAAATGGATATTATATTTTCATAGGCAGCCTCTTCCTACCCCATTCCCAAAGAGGGTGTTTTAAAATACTGTCATGGAAGCAAGATATACACAATAATGACTCACAGAGACAATCTTACCACACCCGAAATGATTATCACACAAACATTATCAATGACACATCAGTGATGGGAAATCAACTTACCATTAGGATTTCGCCAGAGAAAAACAGACACAGGAGCTTGGCAACACAGTGTTTTTAACGCTGTTCTAAGACACTGGGTCACTTGACTACTGCAATAATTGGGGAAATCTTGTTTCAAACACTAGGCAGAATGCTTCTTTCTGGGACATTTGAAAAGTAAGGACTATGAAGCCAAATCAGTATAGAAATTTTGCCTGGCTTCACTCTTCTTGCTACTTATGCCTTGGATCCCTTCACTAAAAACCCACTTCACAGTTGATCATTAACTTCATTAGCAGTTGGTAAGAATAATTCTGAGTGATGCAGACTATCCCAGCAGTCACATGACAAACATAACTTACACATGTCAAGGCAGGAGTGGGGAAAGTATACATGACAAAAGAAAGTAGTCAGCCTCGCACTGTTTGACCTAGGGCAGTGTGACTTCCCTGAGTTGCCATGTCATGAAAAACGAATAGTAAGAAAAAAACAAGAACCATTCTTTTGTGGTTTTTTTTGTGTGTGTGTGAATTCTGGATTGGCATCCACTAATGTACATTTATTTCCTCAAGTCACTTATATCAGCCTTGACTACCCAGATCTAACTCTTTAAAACTAAGGAGTCATGATTAGATTTACTTTCCCCTTTGTGATAGAAATATTTATGTTTTGAGACAGGGTCTCAACTCTGTTACCCAGGATGGAGTGCATCAGTGCGATCATGGCTCACTGCAGCCTAGATCTCCAGGGCTCAAGTGATCTTCCCCCCACCTCAGCCTCCTGAGTTGATAGGACTACAGGTGTGTGCTACCACACCTGGCTTTTTTTATTTTTATTTTTTTGAGACAAAATTTCGCTCTTGTTGCTCAGGCTGGAGTGCAGTGACCAAATCTCAGCTCACTGTAACCTCCACCTCCCTGGTTCAAGTGGTTCTCCTGCCTCAGCCTTCTGAGTAGCTGGGATTACAGGTGCGCACCATTACACCCAGCTAATTTTTTGTATTTTTAGTAGAGATCGGGTTTCTCCGTGTTGGGCAGGCTGGTCTCAAACTTCTGCCCCCAGGTGATCCACCCTCCTTGGCCTCCCAAAGTGCTGGGATTACAGATGTGGCTTATTTAAAAAATTTTATTTTTTGTAGAGATGGCGGGGGTGGGGGCATGGGGGTGTCTCAATATGTTGCCCAGGCTGGTCTCTAACCCCTGGGCTCAAGTGCTCCTCCCACCTCAGCCTCCCGAAGTGTTGAGATTGCAGGTATGAGCCACCACACCTGGCCTGAAATAGTATTTAAATGTTGCTACCTGATTAGTTGTTTTAAGATTCACAACCCAAGTTTATCATTTATATTTATTTATTTATGTTTAGATCTTCTTCCATGAATCCACACTAACAGTGACTTGTTTGGGTGATATTTCAGATTCCCTAGGGAGAAACTTACAATTACAATGCTTTGATATTACATATAATAACTTTTAAGTCTGAGGTTTTTCCAAATTTATATATTCTCCTTGGGCTAATTAGCATATGTTTTTAAAAGTCATACTCTAGGTAATTTAAACTATTATAATACTAAAGTAACTGCTTGAAAACATAACTATTGGTTATGAAAACATGACCAACTTCTATTCTGAAAATGAAAGAAGTATATCACTCTTAGAACTAAGTTCCAGTTTCCTAAGTTTCACATATATAGTTAAAAAAACAGATTTCCACCCTAAGAATCATTAAAAGACCTATGTGACTTCTAAAATTGCCTGTTTTTGAGTTTCTCAAACTCAAGTTTGAGAATTTATATTCTACAGAATAGCAGAAACATTAGTGTTTATCTGTTAGATTTATTTTCATTTCTTATCTTTAAAATATGTGTGAATTTTAAAAAAACTGTAATAAGTACTTATCAAAATACATAACTGTATAAAGGAAAAAGTAACTGGTCAGTAGATAATTTCTACTTCCAGGCTTTTTTTCCATGAATACACATAAACACATGCACAGCAATTTTTTTTTTGATGGGATCATCCAATATATTTTGTTTTCAACTTGTCTTTTTTATGTATCATGAGTATCTTTCTATGTCAGTAAACTTACCCCCAGTATTCAACTGGCTTCTGTATAATTTCCAATTTTTTGCTATTAAAGAGATATAACAAAAATTATGTAGCTTTATGTACCCGTGCAAATATTTCTGCAGAACAGATTTCTGAAAGTGGAACTGATGAATTATTGTATACTTTGAATAGATACCGTACCAAACTGACTCCATGAAGCTGAACTAACTACATTCCCACTATGGTATAAGAGACTGTGCCTCGTTAATGTTTTCTAATATCTATAATAATATTTTATATAATAAAACACTGCATATGCTAATATTACGTTTATCTGAACACTGTTCAAATGTTTCATATAAATGAATTTTTTTTTTTTTATACTGTTACAGAGTGTCTTCCAATCGCCAGCTATGGGGCAAGTTGGGAATGGAATGGGTGCCTCTGCCAGGCTTGCTTTCCCTCCCTTTCCAAAGTTGGCAGAATACTAGGCACTCTCCAGACACAATCCCAGGAGGTATATAAATAAATTTCAAGATAAACAATAAAACTTAAAATCATGTGTAAAAAAACCTTTCTAAAAAGCATTATGATTTTCCTGCCTTCTTAATTATGCAGAATAGTTACAATTTAGGATTTTCTTTACGATTATAAATTTTCAAAAAAGAAATCACAATTTGCCTATCTTCTGAAAAAGAATGTACTAGGCATAGTTTATTATTTTCTTTATGGGCCAGGCACGGTGGCTCACACCTGTAATCCCAGCACTTTGAGAGGCCGAGGCGGGCAGATCACGAGGTCAAGAGATCGAGGCCATCCTGGTCAACAAGGTGAAACCCCGTCTCTACTAAAAATACAAAAATTAGCTGGGTGTGGTGGTACGTGCCTATAATCCCAGCTACTCGGGAGGCTGAGGCAGGAGAATTGCTTGAACCTGGGGGACAGAGGTCACACTGAGCTGAGATCGCACCATTATACTCCAGTCTGGCAACAGAGCAAGGCTCTGTTTCAAAAAAAAATTTTTCGGCCGGGTACGGTGGCTCAAGCCTATAATCCCAGCACTTTGGGAGGCCGAGGCGGGTGGATCACGACGTCAAGAGATCGAGACCATCCTGGTCAACATGGTGAAACCCTGTCTCTACTAAAAATACAAAAAATCAGCTGGGCATGGTGGTGCGTGCCTGTAGTCCCAGCTACTCAGGAGGCTGAGGCAGGAGAATTGCCTGAACCCAGGAGGCGGAGGTTGCGGTGAGCCGAGATAGCGCCATTGCACTCCAGCCTGGGTAACAACAGCGAAGCTCTGTCTCAAAAAAAAAAAAAATTTTTTTTTCTTTATGATTTTGAAGATTATATATTGGATGCTACTTTCTTTAATACAGTAATGGATGTTGAGGCTACTGAGCTGTTTGCTGGAAGGCTGAGCTAGATCCAGAAGGTTGTACTTTTCCCATCAACCTGTCATCTACATTAGGTATTTTTCCTAATGCTATCCCTCCCTCCCCTAACCCCCATTCCCTGACACGCCCCAATGTGTGATGTTCTCCTCCCTGTGTCCATGTGTTCTCATTGTTCAACTCCCACTTATGAGTGAGAACATGCAGTGTTTGGTTTTCTGTTCCTGTGTTAGTTTGCCGAGAATGATGATTTCCAGCTTCATCCATGTTCCTGCAAAGGACATGAACTCATCCTTTTTTATGGCTGCACAGTATTCCATGGTATGTATGTGCCACATTTTCTCTATCCAGTCTATCATTGATGAACATTTGGGTTGCATTCCTATATACCAATAATAGACAAACAGCCAAATCATGAGTGAACTCCCGTTCACAACTGCTACAAAGAGAATAAAATACCTAGGAATACAACTTGGAAGGGATGTGAAAGACTTTTTGACTTCTTATGGCAGCATTTCTCTTTCAACTAGGCAGCATTTCTCTTACACTAGGCAGCAGCCTCTCTCTTCTGCCTAGTCTAAGCATGCCTGCCTCTAGGAGTAATCCCATCCTTCCACTTTCGTCCCATGCATACAATCTCTAATATGCTGCTTCTCATATATATATTTGAAAAAGAAAAGAAAAAAATTACGCAAGCAGATTCTCAGAGCAGACAGGAGGATAGTATGTTCTTCAAAGAAGGACACCGAAGTGTGAATAGGACACCCAAGTTTTAGGACATACGGAACAAGACATTCTACCTCTAAAGCCAGACATTAAAAGAGAGAAAAAATTATATAGAAAAGAATATTTAAAAGTTAAGGAGATATGATAAAAATTCTACTTCAATATTTAATCTAATATTTCCTGTTGTAAACATGATAAGGTATTTCTAAGTTTCCTTCCCATTTGAACATTATTGAAACATAATTTCAAGCATGGGTAGTGAGAAACTCAATAACATTTCTACAATTTGGGCAAAAAAAAAACCAATGCCTGGGATTACATACACACAAAAATACTGAGCATAGTTTATTGTATCTTAGGTGCTTTACGGTATTGAAACTTTTACAAGAGGTTATGTAAATCAACAGAAATAAATAAAATAACTTGAGTGGCAGAAAAAATAAGAACTCACTGCCAAGTAAATGCTTTGCCAAATGACCTTTAATGACTAACACTCTTGCCTCCATTTTTCTCTCACTGTAGTAAAATCAACTAAGAGATGGCAATCAAAACAAATTCTACAGTGTTTCCACCAAACCACTTTCTATTCAATGCCCCAAGCATGCTCTAAGAATGAAAGCATTCAGTGCTGGTGTCAGCCATAATTCTTTTAAATTACATTATAAATTTTCATTCTGTTGAAGCCATTTTAACCAATTCTCAGTTATCCACAGAAATAGGGAGCAGAATTTTGAACAGCTAGCATGATTAACTAAAATGATGTGCTTTTCTCCCCTATACATCCTCTATTAGAAGAGCTTATGGACACTGAAAATCCAAAATGCAAGCTGCAAAAGGAACAAAGAACAAAAGCATTAGAACTGAATCATGGGTAGGTGTGTGGGGGAAGAGAAAATGAGAGAGAAAATGCAGCATTAGAAGCTTTTCACTTTATATGCTTTTCTTTTTTATCTCTCCACTCTGTCACTCAGGCTGGAGTGCAGTGACACGATTTTGGCTGACTGCAACCTCCATCTTCTGGGTTCGAGCAATTCTCCTGCCTCAGTCTCCCCAGTAGCTGGGATTACAGGCAGGCGCCACCACACCCAGCTGATTTTTGTATTGTTAGTAGAGACAGGGTTTTGCCATGTTGGTCAGGCTGGTCTTGAACTCCTGACCTCAGGTGATCTGCCCATCTTGGCCTCCCAAAGTGCCGAGATTACAGTACAGGTGTGAGCCACTGCGCCTGGCCCCTCCTTTTGTTTTCTTGATGAAAAGTTATTATACAATGTTGTCCCTGTCCCCTCAGGGAGGTTCTCACAGCACCAATTATTAGTGATGACCGAAAAAAAAAACAAAAAAAAACCAAATTTCTTGAAATGAAAGTTATGGAGGTATGTGCAAAATATGAGACACGGAGACTTAGAATTCTCTCCCTGATCATTCTAGGATAAATGATCAACAAAAGCATGGACTCTTTACACATCAAACCACTATAAAGGAACTTGATATTGAAAAAGAGAATCCAGGCAAAGACAGTTTTGCATTGCCATGTTCAAACTCATCTCTAGTTCCTGGGCTAGAATTGACAATCCTGATGTAACTGAAAATACAGACAGAAGTGACTAAGCAGAATGAGGTTACTCTGGAAGAATCAAGAAAGACTTTTGAGGTGCTGATAATAATCCAGCTATTTGAAGAAGGAAGAATATTAAAGAAATACTAAGTACAAAGATTTGGGGGCAGGAACAAATTCAGCATGTTTGAGGGACAGGAAAAATTCTAGTGTACCTAATTCACTGAAAGACAAACAGAAAAAACCAGATGAGGTTGAAAAGAGAAGTAAAGACCAGATAATGAGGTTATAATCTATGACAAGGAACTTGGATTTCATTATAAGTGAAATGGGAAGTTATTGAGGCAAGCATGAAAAAAGCAAGGAGACCACTTAGGAGTTTTAGAGACAGATGATGTTAATGGTGGTAGAAAGAAGTGACTAGACAGACCATGGGATCTTTTGGGAGATTATAACCAAGAAAACTTGTCAGTCTACTAGACATGAGGCTAGTGAGAAAGAGTACTTGAGGTTGGAATCCTTGGTTTTGAGCTTGAGCAATTTGGTGGATAATAGTGCCAATTACCCACCCAATTTTTGTTTCTTTTTTTGTTTTTGTTTTTTGAGACAAAGTCTCACTCTGTTGTCCAGGCTGGAGTAAAGTGGCATGATCACATCTCACTGCAGCCTCAAACACCTGGGCTCAAGCAACCCTCCTGCCTCAGCCTCCTGAGAAACTGGAACCACAGGTGCATGCCACTACATCCAGCTAATTTTTTTGATCTTCTGTAAAGACGGGTCTTGCTATGCTGCCCTGGCTGGTTTTGAACTCCTGGGCTCAAGTGATCCTCCTGCCTCAGCCTCCCAAAGTGTTGGGATTGCAGGTTGTATTAGTCTGTTTTCGTGCTGTTGATAAAGACGTACCCGAGACTGGGTAATTTATAATGAAAAAAAAGTTTAATGGACTGACAGTTCCACGTGGCTTGGGAGGCATCACAATCATGGCAGAAGGTAAAAGGCATGTCTTACATGGCAGCAGGCAAGAGAGAATGAGAGAATTGAAAGTGGAAATCTCTTATAAAACCATCAGATCTTATGAGACTTATTCACTGCCACAAGAACAGTGCCACTGCACTCCAGTCTGTGTAACAGGGCGAGGCTCTGTCTCAAATAAAAAAAAATAAATAAATAAAAATAGGCTGGGTGCCGTAGTTCATGCCTGTAATCCCAGCACTTTGGGAGGCTGAGGCGGATGGATCACAAGGTCAGGAGTTCAAGACCAGCCTGGCCAACATGGTGAAACCCAGTCTCTACTAAAAGTACAAAATGTAGCTGAGCATAGTGGCAGGCACCTGTAATCCCAGCTACTTGGAGAATTACTTGAACCCATGTGCCAGAGGTTGCAGTGAGCTGAGATCATGCCACTGCACTCCAGCCTGGGCAATATAGTGAAACTTACTCTCAAAAAATAAAAATAAATAAATAGTAAAATAAATTTAGTCATAGTTTCTCCAAAATTACAACATATTCTGGAGAATTAAATGTTACTAAACCATTTTGCGATAGTCTTTTTTTTTTTTTTTTTTTTTTTTGAGACCAAATCATGCTCTGTTGCCCAGGCTGGAGTGCAGTGGTGCGATCGTGGCTCACTGCAACCACTGCTGCCCTGGTTCAAGTGATTCTCCTGCCTCAGCCTCCCAAGTAGCTGGGACTACAGATGAGTGCCACCACATGGGACTAATTTTTGTATTTTTAGTAGAGACAGAATTTCAGCATCTTGGCCAGGCTAGTCTTAAACTCCTGACCTCCTGATCCACCTGCCTTGGCCTCCCAAAGTGCTGGGATTACAGGAGTGAGCCACTGCAC